GAAGCAGAACTTCTCTAGTCATTCATATATAACTTAATTTACTTGAAAAATTTGTATTGTCCAAAGGTAGAAATTCCATTTTACAGATGATGCCACTAAATACTACTCGATGTGCCACAAAATTTGACACTGAGTATCAAAAGTAGTCAGAGGTCCCCTTGTGGGTTAACAACTTCTTTGACTCTGTAGCATCATCTACTCCAAAGCATATCAATTGCTTTACACTACTTTTCTTTTCAGATTTTCTATACAGTCTCCAATCCTTCGGCATTCCGCAATTCTCCAGGGCTAGCTGTACTTCAAGGCTTTCCTTCTTGAATATTCAACCAGGACCATAGCTTGAATGACCCCCAACAAAATTCATTTTATATCTAACTCCCATTGTGACGTTTTAGAAGTAGGATCACAGGACCTCTAAAAGGTGAGTAGGCTGTGAGTGCTCTCTTCTTGACTGGATTCACAAATTAATGAAGAATCTCATCGATGAACCTGTCATAGAAGCCAGTTTACAGGTTTTCTATGTATACCTCTCTTGTCCTGTGATGTTTGCCCTGCAGAGCCTTAGGACTCTGTACTGTCCCCACAGCAAGAAAGCCTCATAAGATGTGGTCCTTCGACCTTGTACCTTCCGTAATTATGAGCCAAATAAACTTTTACTCTTTACACATTACACACTCTATGGTAGTTAGCTATAGATGCATAAGGGCAAAAAGATATTGAACTCCAAAGCAACTATGTCAGTTCCATGCTTGTAAACATCATCATCTGCCATTTGTCATTTTGACAAACAGTTACTTATACTTCTGATCATTTTCTATTTATGCTGAAGGGTTTACCTACAGTATATACTGCTACTGGCAGCACCCAAACTGAATGATTTAGTAACTTGCATCCTTAGCACCTCTTCAGTAAGTAAAGCCATAGGTGATGTGTGTTCTTAGTTCTTTGTCAATAATCAACCAACATGCCTGATACCCTGATATTTCTTCAGCTCTACCTCTATTTGCCTTCAAATTTTTATATCAGTCAAGTTTAATACCTTTTTTTTGCCTTGTTTTATAAAACAAACCCACCCACTTGTGCTTTAAAGCCTATTCTTTTTCATAGCCTTTGGGTAACTTGGTTCTTAAGGTTCAAATGCTCTCTTCTCTATCCTCAACTATAAATACATCGAGTCTCACAAACTCTGCATAGTGCTTACTTTTCTTCTAGCATTGTTACTGCCTTCTCTTGTTTTCAACAGCTGCCTTACCCCCAGTTTTCAGTGGTCATGAAAAATTATTTTATAGCCAAGTGTAATGGCCACTTAGTTACATTCTCTCTCTTTTGTAAAATTTTCTGTGGAAATAGCTCAATGGTAAAGAGATTGCCTATTATGTGTGAGACCATAGATTCTATTTCTAGCATCACAAATAAAGAGCAGTATCTTTTCTAAGTGCTCTAAAACCCTCACAATGTTTTGACTGCTCTATTTCACTTCTTCAATTTCTGTTTTTGGGTAGCATATGGAAAGCCCAAATTGTTACCTATATACCTTTCACAGATATACCTACCTATCCATGGTCCTTTTTTTTGAGCATTAGAACTACCCATTAGATATTTCAAAATTGTGCTTGTGGTTGAACTCACAATCTTTTCCTTGTTGTTTCCCAGTTTCTCTTCTCTTAGTATATCCCTCCCTTGCTTTTTAACCAATCATCTAATCTCTTGAGCTGACAGCTTTGTGGCATTTTCCTCCAGCTCTTATGCTCATGCAGTATGGCTGATGATGATCAGTGAGATTATCTCTAGAATGCCTTCACTCCTTTCCATTTTCAGTAGTCACACCCAGATCATCCTTGTTCTCATGTTACTATTTTATTCTGCAGTACTAATTGCCTTCCTTCCAATGTCCATAAGGGCAAAAAATGCATTCACTGCTTTATATACCCAGAAGCACTGTCTCTTGAGAACAAAGAAACTCAATCAATGTTGAGCAAATGAATATACTTTTATAAAACCCCAAAATAATCATGGTACTGTGGAACCACATCAAAACATGTGCATATATAGATTACTATAAACATACCATATATATACTTCTAGAGACACTGAACCCAAATCCTCAGCATGCCATTTAAAGCCCTTCAAAGTCTGCTATCAAGGTAACATCTAAGTCTCAATATTCACTATTCTTCCCTCCTCACCAGGGATCTGTATTCTGGCCTTCTTGGGCCTTTTGTTAACTATACTCACCCCTCTCCCCCCACCAACCCCAGACAGGGTTTCTCTTTGTAGCTTTGGAGCCCATCCTGGAAATCACTCTGTAGACCAGGCTGGCCTTGAACTCACAGAGATCTTCCTGCCTCTGCCTCCCAAATGCTGAGTTTGGGATTAAAGGTGTGTGGCACCACTGCCTGGTTTACACACATCTTTGTTCTTGCTGGGGTAGCCATTTTTTTTTCTGAGAAAACTGTAGCTGGAAATTTTTGCTGAAATACCACCCTCTTCTGTGAAACCCAACCTGATCAACAACCTTCAAATCTGTCTGTCAAGGAGCTTGTAGTGTCATTCCATTGCCAAAGTCATG